ACAACCACGATAATGCTGAGATATTCGCAAAACTTCGTACCGCAGGTGTCTGCGGTGGGTAACGAATGCCATCACCGTACCGGGGGCAAACGCGCTCACCATCACATCATGCAGGTCCTTCGTTTCGCCTTTCTCTCAGTATTTTTCTATCGATCAGTTCTATCAGCAGTCACCTGTTAACGGGACTGATCTGGGCAGCCTAAATCGGCATTGAACCCAATTAAGCAGAGGTTGCATTTGTAATCATAGACGTAACTTTTTATTTGCTGCCTATGACAATTTTTCATAAACGGTATTATGCAAAACTCCGGTTGGCCTCCGAAAATGGTAATATTTCGTTCGTTCTCCACCGCAAACACATGCGATCCGAAGTTTTGCAAATATCTTAGCATCATTGTGGTTGTATTTCGCACAATACCATGCCATGAAGAATTGTAGTAGGTCGCAAATCAAACTTAACAATGCTGCAGAACATTTTTGAGCGATGGTTGCGAGAAAACGAATCGAACTCAGGAAGTGCTAAGAATTTTACAGTAGATGTGGTGACTGTTCTCTGTGAAAAAACTGTAAAACCTAAGTTAATGAAACTGTGCACTGAGTTCTTTTTCGAATTTCCTCACGAAGCAGAATTATGACGCTCATAAAAATTCCGCTCTGCTCCTCTTTGCATGTTTCTCTGCCTTCCTGTGGATGCGTCACGTGCAGATCAAGTAAAGACTACAGTGGTCCCAATTCCAAAGTAGTGAAACGTAGTGGCGCGCTGCCGCAGAGGACGCAATAAAATCCTATTCGTTTTCAATAACTAAATTGACTTTCACTTATTCTCTGCATAGTAATCAATAGATTTGTTTAGATTGTTCAGCTTCGGGAAAGAAAAAGACGTTCAAACGTTAGCCAAACTAAACCTCTCTAACAACCTAGTGTAGGCTGAACAATGTAAACAAATGTGTTGATTATTGGCGCCGAAGTTTACTTTCGACACGAAGAAAAAATCATTAGCAATCGACAGTTAGTCATCGACCATCCTCTATAGGAAAGCACCGCTGTTTAACGTTGCCCCATTCGAACAGTGTACCACCGAAGAATATTCGAGTAGATATGACAGCAAAGACCCCACATGGACATTATGAATGAAAGTGGACATTGACTCGAATCATCGGCCCTGAGGAAGAAGAAGACTTTTGTGTGTCATTCAAAGAGAACTTCTATAACAATCTCGTACAATCTGAAAAGTCTTAACAAATGTATTCTTTTTTTGGTCAGATGAAGTGACTAAGGCCAACAATATAGCTCAACTATTAAAACAAGAATGCGAGGAATACTGTCACAAATCGACTTTCATTTAACGTTGTTATGAGTAACCAATGCACTTCCTTCCCTCGATAAGCTAACATGTGGTTGCTACCCAACATTTATCCAGCTAGCGTCTCGACTTCTTCAGATCCAGGGTGATTTGAGTCGATGGTCCACAATCGTTCACTCTAGCGAGCTACGTCTTCGTAGTGTCATCATTTGGAATTTCCTTCAGTGTTGCACTGCTTGAAAGGAATAATCTCGCCAAGACAACGGCAAGTTATCTGAATAAATGTGTGCTAAAACCTCGATTTATTTATATTGCGATATTTACCTTTCTAAAGCAATCTGGCTTTCCCAGGGAAACGAAGAACATTATATTTTGGTCATGTCACCATTCTCCACGGTTTTTGGCAAAAGCGTAGGAATGCGCAGCTAGCCGCACTCCGACGTAATGTAGATTCACCGTGCATCCGAATAAGAATGCCGAGTATCGAGTTTTCCCACAAAATAATACTGCAAACCTAAAAAAGATTCCTTTCAAACTAGCCTTCTTACCAAGCAAAAGTGGTCACGCCATTAAAAATTGTCTAAGAATAAGTGGTTTTGAGAATTCTGTGGTAGTAATTGACATCCCACCTGTTAACCCATAAAATCAATCAGCCGCAACCATCTCTGTGATCATTCGTGCTGCTCAGAAAATTGTGTCATTTGTTCTAACAGCGGAGATGAAAATCTTATTAGTTCAGGTACAATATAATTAATCTCATGGAAGGCACGCTGTGAAGAATACATTAGCGAAACGGATAGACCACACTGTGCTCCCATAAAAGACCATTTAGATGGGAAAAAACTCGGCAAAGTACTATTCTAGGTACCTGTAGCGCACGAAAGCAGAACGATGTGACTTTGAAGTGATTCCTAGGATCCTAGCTCAGAAATTGAAAACGACGATTCGCAAGACTCTTGAACCTTTTTGGATAAATTTTAAAAGTCCAAAGGAGAACAGGGAAGGCGAATGCCTCACTATCACACGTCGTATAGCGTGTTGTCTTAGAATGTTTTTTTTTCGATCTAGGTGAGCTTGGCTCATCATGCCTGTGAACAGCACGAGTGTGCTAGCCCATCGAACAAAAGGGTGGGTGGTTTTCAGGAAAGGTGGCGTTCATTTATTCAATAGGTCTTTATTATACTATAGGCACTTACTTGAATACTTGGACAGCCTGTTTTCATAAGCTATGTAGACCTCAGCACATGTTCCGTTCATTTCTTTGTCTAGTAATCGTCATCCACTGTGGTGGTTTGATTCGAGAACGCTGGTGCCTGCAAGTCTCATACTGTGATCTGTAAAGCAACTGCAGCTGCAACTACATCTATTTGGCTTTCGTTAAGAACACGAAGGCATGTTTAGGTGATCGTCGTAGAAGACGCGCGCATCATCGTGGAGTCCACTCTACAGTTCCCCTCGTCCGTCTGTTCCCCGTTCTTCTCATTATACGACCCGTCCGCCCACGTTTCGCTACCGATATATGTCCCTCTGGGTCTCCAAGATGAGGTAGTTCTCGGTGACCAGAGCTTTTAACTCTAAGTAAATTTTGTGTATGCCAGCTATATTTCAGAAGACCTCGTTAAAACAGCCTCTGAGTAGTGTGCAGTGCAGTTGACGCTGATAATGTATCGGTCTCTGCTGCATAACACAACGCTTAAAGGACATTGAATCAAAAAAGCAAGCGCGGATTCTGCGGTCCGTCAGTTGATCAGTGACTTATTTGAGTGGACTGAATACAATGCACGCCCCATGCCACTCTTCTTCTTCTGTTGAATTCCTCCTACATGCTTTTGTCAATGTTCACTAAACGTCTAAAGCACAGGTATGTTGCAATCTCTACCATCAAGGAACCATCCAATTCCGTCTGTTTCTCTCGAAGCACGTATTTTCAATGAACTGGCCCTGTTCTGATTTATGCGTTGTCCTTCGTTCCCACTTCTTTGAGCCACTGATCTCTGAGTGATTGGTGCTTCTTGAAAAGATGACGCTGTGATCGACAAAACAAACATTTTATAGGAATTTTCCATTAATGCGTACACCTTTCTTATCTTAATAGAATGACCTCACTATCCACTACAATGCTACACTAAACAGTTTTGCCGATATGGTATCACCTTCTCGCACACCTTCATCTACGGATGTAGTAGAAGTCGATGGGAAAGAGATGTACATTCGCAATGCAGTTCCGATAATAGTAAGATAGAGCTCTAATGTAGGACAGCTCCACTCTTTGATAGACGACGTCTGATAGAATAGCCTTATATTTTGACACTGTCAAACGCTTTTTCGTAGACGATGAAAGTCAGAACATGGGCAACCGGTATTTCCAACAAACTTCACTGACCTTGAGCACAGTTTGGATGCAGCAAAATTCCCTTCTCTATCCTGCTTTCTCAACTGCTTGCGCTTCATCTAACGTTCTTGAAATGCTCGAAATGATACTTTTCGTGAACAGCTTGCAAAGTGCACTCAATAAGCATATCGGACGTTAGTTATGAAGACCCCTTGCTTTTCTAAGACAGAATGACTGTGCGCGGCGTCTTCAATTTGGAATTTTTCTTTTTGAAGGCAGGATGTCATATAGGTTGCTAGAAGTACATATAAATTGCGACCTTCCGCTCTAAGAGAGCAAGCAGTGATATTACCGGGCCTTGTAGCTCTGCCTCTTTCAAACGCAACTCGAAACTCTAGGAAAAGAATTGTGGATGGTTTTTCTCCAGCGGCGATTTTAGGGTTTCGGACGGGAAATGTGGGACCGAAAAGGCTTGTGTAGTGCAGTACCGTTTTTACCTTCACATCATTACAAAAAGTTTTAGTGGTCCATAGTCGTTTTTCAGGGTTGAGAGCGGAATACTGTTGTCGCAAAAGTCCCAACGGCACTTTTTCGAACTGACACTTTTTATAACCTACCGTGATTTAACCTCTTTACTATAATAATCAACATTTGTCTATATTGCTGAGCTCACACGAGGTTGATAAAGTTAGTTATTCGGCTAACGCTTCGACGTCTTCCTCTTCATCAGAGCCGATGACTCTCGTCGATGATCCACAGTTGCACCTCTTCTCGATGTGGGGACTTCATCTCGCATTGAACCGCATCTTCTTCAGTTGCTCATCTCGAATAAGCCATGCTCACCTGATGACACTACTTTATACAAGGCGGCTGTTGTTGATATGATTATCAGTTGATGATAACTTGTCTTTCAACCTATAATCCGCTCTGCAGCAAACGCCATTTTGTTAGATAGTACATGGCGAATACCAGAACAATGATTTTGAAGATCCGATGAGCTAATAGCTGATACGAGCTGAAGATAACTGAGAAAAATCCGGTTCGATGCGAGACGAAGATCCTATATCGAGAATAGGAACAACTGTGGACCATCGACAAGGCTCTTCGGCTCTGATGAAGACCAAGACGTCGGAACGTTAGCCGAACAAACATCTCATATCAATCTTGTCTAAGCTCAATAATATAAACAAACCTTGACTCTTTTTGTGTTACTTCTACTTCGAATGGGACTGTCCATTCGTAACACCACGACTCTGTGGAAAAGGCGAAATCGCCGAAACGTCAGCCATCGACCAACAAGAACAAAAGCAACAACAACGGCAGCGAAGACCTATACCAACCTCGCACCAGCTAAAGAAGATCAGTTCATAACATCATATAAATAATTAGATCAAGTTTTAGTTCCTTCCTATTCTCGAGCAACTCCTTAGTGGTAATGGAGATGCCATCTGAATTTCTCGCCTGAGGAATTGAGAGGAAATCGTCACAGTTTTTAAATTTGTCGACTATCAGCTCGTAGTACTCGGTTGGGTCCTCTTTATTCTGCTCATCGGGCTTGGATTGGATTTCATTCAGAATGTTCTCGTTGTACGCCGCCTGATGCTTTCTTCTTGGACGACATGGATTCCTTTCCGGCTTACGCCTGAACATAATGTTTTCGCGAAGATGGCGGTGATTGGAACCAGTGCAGAATGATGGGACTACAATGTGTTTAAGAGGCATACTTGCATTTTCAATGATTTTCTTTCTTACAGGAGAACGACTTTCCATACAGGAGGTATGCTGCAGACAGTAGTTCTGCAAAACGATTTTATTCTCATTTTTTTCAGAAGATTTCCGATCCCGTATTCGCTCTCGTTGGTCTTCTTCATTGAGACGTTTAAGTCTTTGCAAATAAATTTGTATTACCATATATAATTGAAGACAACTCCCTGAAACTGATAGTAGTCCACATCTAATTGGTACTCACCAACTATATCGTATATCGCTCGGTGAATAGCAATTGATGACAGCAATCTCATTATGGTGAACTGGTTGAGGACGGAGCTAAACGAAGAAAATGGATCTCGTCAAATCCGCAAGATGGGACAAGGGATGGGTAAACGATAGAGCCTACACCACCGACATTTTGTGAGAGGACGTTTCCTCCGCGGGTGGCAAGGGTCCTGTTGTTTAGTTGGTTTACGCTGATCTTGCTTTTTTTCTTGCAGTGCGAATCAGAACTAATTTTATGCTATCTGCTGCTTCAAGAAGACTGTGAATATCGGCGTCTGAGCGCCTGAGCGATCACTCAAGGACGATGTTGAAGCCGAACTCAGCACTATAGATAGTTCACCTAATTGTATGTATAGCGTCACATTTTTTGTAATAACTGCACTAAGGAAAACGACGACTTTCTATCTTATAACGCGTCTACCTAGAGAATGCTTACCTACTGTTGGTCTCCGTTATCTTCTTCGTATCACTCGATATCACTCCTACTTATCTATCTCTACCACCTCGTATCTCCGACTTTTTTAAAGGAAATGCCAGTGACAGTGCATACTTCATCATTAGTGTACTTCGGGTAGATGGACAAATATGTATTCTTTCTTGATAAGCTTGCACGAGGTTGATAAATATATTTATTTTCGGCTAACGTTTCGACGTCTTCGTCTTCCTCAGAGCCGGTGATCCGAGTCGATGGTCCATGCTTGTTGTTCGCCTCGACGTTGCGTCTTCGCCTTCCTGTCGAGCCAGATCTTCCTCAGCGAGTCATCTTCTCGAATGAGGCATCCTCACTCAGTGATGCCCTTTTATACACGATGCTGATGGTGGATATATAATGACAATGTCCGGTGGTAACAACTTGCATTTCTTCCGGACATACATCATTGCGCACATCGTGCAGAGGTCGGTGTATTATCAGCTAGCACAAAGCGTAGTAATATTTCGAAACCGACCTTCCCTAAGCCTCAGTGTGACTAATCAATATGTATTCACACCGAGGTTTAGGGAAGGTCGGTTTCGAAATAGATGGAGAAATTCTCAAAGTATTAGAAAGCAAAATGCGTCACCTGATGAATAGCAGGGTGTTGAGAGCAAGGTTGTTTGAACAGATGAACAATGATTTCTCTAGATGAAACTGGAGAGAGTCGAAAGCATTCCTGAATCCTGTTTCTATAGATTTCTACACAAATGTCACTCAATGCGTTTATTGAAGGAGCTACGTATATCTAAGAAGTGTCAACAACCATATGCATCTAAAAAGTGTCTTTATAATCAGAAAATCATAGACTTCAGTTCGTTCCTCATCGCACTAGAGTCGTCGGAGTGAGTGATCTTCCAATTTACTGGCAGACTTATCCTTTTCTCTACTTTATCTCGCTTTGTTAGCATTGTGTTTGTTTATTAGAGCTTCTCGGAAGGACGGTAATATCATCGGTCGAAGTAACTGTGATTCTATGAGATTTTTTTTTGTCCTAGTGGACTGCCTTATTATGAACCACAGTACTGCGTTGAAGGGCTTTGACTTGATAATTCCACTTTTTCCTTTCCTTAGATTCTGTTTTAGACATCAGATGAGTTGAAGAGATGAATAGGATATGTAGTTTCGTCACACGGCTATGGCGCTGTAAAATCATTGTGGTCGACGACAACATGGAGTCTATTTCAATATTTGGCGTCAACATAACCTCGTGTTTGCTGAACATGAAAACAGCGCATTATTTCAGTACTGTTAAGCTTTTCGCGTAGTCAAAAAAAAGAGGTCGTGGTATTCGGTTAAAATTTCACGACTATAACGAAGGTTTGAATGAGGTCCATGGGGAAGATGGTTGTCGAAACCCACTGCCAAGCAGTTGAACTTCAGTGAAAATCGTCGGCATACACAAATAGATAATCGTTTTGAGAAGATTCGGAGATTTCCTCAGTGACACTTATTTGATGTGATAATGGTGGCCGAATATTTTGACGCAATGTTGTCATCCCATCTGTAATAACTGAATGAAATCTGTTTCCCGAGGTATGAAGAAGAAACCAGAATTTAAAATCTGCTTGTTCATGGAATTTCGAAGCTACGGCTAACGACTAGTTTTAATGGAACAACTAGTTTAAAAAAACTTGCGTTTCGTTGGACATTCGGCGCTCCATCTGACTAATGGAAAAGAAATGGAAGCAGAAAAACGACCTTAACATGTTATAGATCTCGGCCATTGACAAAGCTCGCTATTTTTTTTTCAGTAACAGGCAAAAACTCCTGAGGGGAAAACAAAGACGATAACTTTTAGGCGAAAATAACGCGCTGTATTTCAAGTAGTTCAAACCAAAGGCACAAAGATCTCTTTCTCTTATGCCATTCAGCTTTTCCATTCTATTCATTAATAATGAACAAATTATAGAATCTATGGATTGACTGCATAGGACAAATTTCTTCACTTCGCCGAACGAAGCTGTTTCTCCAAAATCTGGTTCGATGCCTTCCAGTGATCAGAAATCACTTTCAATGAATTCATTTATTCACGCCAGAAACGAAAACATCATCGCATTTACCGTCCACTTTTGTGTAAATCCAGCAATTTCAACACACTTATTGATTCTTGCTTGGATGCGCTCAGTTGGTGAAATTCATCCTGCCGGACATCGTGATTGCATACGTTTTTGATGGGAAGTGATTATCTATTTATTATTTCCAGCTACCTTCTGGCAGCGTTTCGTTTACATCTAACTTCGTATTGAAGTGCTATTAAGTGAAATTGTCAGCGTTTTTATTAACCTTAGGAATTCTCACTGCAAAATGGCATTTCGCTTCCAACTTATCAAGAGATTTTGGTTTCCTGCTCTCATCATTTCAGTTTCAATAGTAAGTGTTTTTTATATCTCTCTAGTTTACGTTTGTTGACAGAGTATTATTTACAACGCTATACAAGGGAACCTGAAAGTTTTGTTAATGTAGATTTACCAGTTTTTTCCGATGAACATTAAGGGATTTTTTGAAGCTTCATAACTTTGAAAACATGTGTTTTCTGACCAGCAAACATTCGAAATCCTCGCTACTTGCTCAATGGCTTATTATAAGTAAATGTAATTAGTTCTTTCGAAATTAATTCCACTCTGGCCTTTTTGTGCTGTGCCTCATCGTTTCCAGATAGCTTGTCATTAAGTCGCAGATTTCTCAGTCGTCACAAGTCTTGTGCTGGCTATGTAAGAATTCTGTCCATTGTCCTCCGATATAGTCGGAAATGTAGTATTTATTTATGACAGCGTTTTTGGTCCAGTATGAATGCAGATTTTACCCAAAACATTCTCGTTATTTAAAACACGAGTGAGAAAGAGAGAAAGGCGAAACGAAGGGCCCGCATGGTGTGGTTGCGAACACGTAATCTCCTGGAAAGAGTAGTAACGGGTTCTATCCCCATCGCAGACTCTTGCGGGGCAGTGTTTTACAAACATTTCAACGCCACTGTGTTACATTCTCGCCAGTAATCACAACCGCAACAGTTTTATTTGTTGCTTACTCTTTTTAATGGCAGGGCATGTTGCGAAATATAACTTCAATGATGCCGAGGTATTTGCAAAACTCCGGACCGCAGGTGTATGCGGTGGGGAATCAATCCCGCTGGCGGGTGATTGCTGATGGCAAAGAACGATAGAATTAGCTGAGAGACGGGCGAAACGACGGACCCGCATAGCGTGGTGGTGAACGCGTTACTCCCCGGAAATGACAATAGCGCGTTAGTTCCCCACCGCAGACACCTGCGGTCCGGAGTTTTGTAAATATCTCAGCATCATTGAAGTTATATTCTCGTTAGTGTTTCACTCTTAATTTGTTGCCTGCCATTTCCTCACGTTAGGGCATGATCTGAAAGACAAGCAGTATGACGCTTGCTAATGTTTTGCCGTTAACGACAAATTTTTTAAATTTTGAAATTTAGAATGCGTCGTTTTCTTGTTCATTCGTATTCGAATGCCGAGGTTAACAGGAAGTCGATCCCCTGGGAACTATTACAAGATGTACCAGCAAAATACTTTTGAAATTTAGCATGGAAATAAAAGAAATGGAACAAATCCATCCTTTTCAATATGGTTTCATATTGGGATACATGGTCAGGGAAACAACTGGAAATGTTAACGTTGATTTTGACCAGTAGGCCGTTAGCTGACATTAAAAGCACGGTAGTGAAAGATGGAAGGTAAAGACGACTGGAAGGCACGTGCTGGCGAAGGGTGGATTAAATAGCACTTTTTGAACGACTCGACAGCTCGGTATGACATGAACTCAACGGCAATCTGAAGCAGTTGACATGAAATCTTTTTTTCGCTCTATGTGCTTAACTAAAATGATTCCTTTCTTCGTCACATTGTCATGTACGGCTATCAATGGAGATTGAACCGACAACGAGGACGTTCTGCGCACTGTCCGATAAAGATAAAGCATCATAAATCTCGAGAGCAGCTTTGTAATAGAGAAAGATTACGATGAAAAAAAAGAAAACCACCTGTCATAAATGCTTCAGTTCTAGAGAATCCATTACAGCAAAGATAAGAAGTCGAAGGCACGCAAAAAGAACTCCACCCACTGCGATCGTCACTGATCTGTCGAAACACAGCGATTTTGTTGTGAAGCAGCTAAGGCAAAAAAAAGCACCTCACCAAACCTTCACATTATAACATTTCTAGTGATGTGTCATTAACTGAAAAGCGGCTTTCAAATACCTCTTGAAAAACATGGTTCTCCAACAATCGAGCCTGTGTTGAAAATTGGTTAAAAAATAGTGGGCTCAAGAAGCTTAGAACAGTAGCACAATTGAAAGGTAGGATGTGGTTTTTCAAGGATGTTTGCACATTGTAGCAGTTTTTAGTAATTTGGTGAAGCTCTGTATGGACTGATTAGCATGTGTTTGGAGACGAAGCCTAAATACTGGAATAACTGCGGCGATATAACATCATAGAGCGTTCCTCTGCTAAGCATTTATTTTAAGATTTGATCTTCAAAGCAGCATATTTTCTTCCAATTAGTGTGGCTCAAATTTATTGCGCTGTTTTCAGTATTTTGCCTACTATGGAGCTGACTACATGATGCTACGATCGCAGGTTAAGTTAACCAAAGAGGATATTCACAATCTCAAACGGAAAATGCTGCAGCAGGTTAGCCAGATGTTGACGGGAAATTTTCCACCGGTTTTATTTGGTCTTCTCGCAATCATTTTCTGTCCCTACGCTTCTTTTCTTCGTTGAGAAAAACACAATACTCAGATTAAAAGATGATCGAAATTCCGTTTTACGAGAAAACATGAGTGCTAACTAAAGACATCGACGTTTAATTCATTCCAAGCTCTGCAACATATAAAAGAAACTTCATTAGTTTGTATAACTAACCTAGCTGTTATTGTTCAACCGAATTTAAACTGAAATAGGCAACTGCTTTGCTACTGAAAATATATTTGTGCTATTTTACAATAATAGCTGAATAAATCCAAAACCTCCCAACGCTTTACAGCATCATCGTTGCTGGGAGGTGTTCCTGGGTGTCGGGCAGTGATGTACAGCGGAGAGATTCGTCACCCCACAGGATCTCCCAAGCCGTCAAGGAGTCCTGCGCTTCCATCAGAAACCTAGCTAAGAGTAAACCAATACCAGGATCCACCACTGTCCTGGTATCAGTGTCGTATATTGACAAATCTCCCTCTGATCCACAGGGGCTGCGACGGCCTGTCGTGGTGACGACCTGGGGCAAACTGTGGCTAGGCCGACCTCGAGATTCCAGAGAACCACAATGTCTTAACCAGCAAATCTCCGAAGAATGGTGATTATGTTGGGACCCATACAACCAATGAAGACGCGCCGTTTAAGCAACAAGTATCAAGTAAGTAAATCTAAGAAACCGTTAGCTCAACACATTCAAGCATGCAGCGCGAAAAACATCATATCACGAAAGAAATGTAAAAGGCTGAAATCAGATTAATTATCACGTGACATTTTTGGAGAAACACTAGTTATTCGAAATGGAGCACACTCCAAACCATGTGATGTGGCATCTCTCTTCGAAGCAGGTCGCTTCGCTCACATCACACCATTGCGACGACTTCACGAGCTCAAATTTTGGAATTGCACAAATATATGTATGACATTCTAGCTGAAAGTGATTCTTTTTCTAAAACGACTACGCTGCAGTGATTTGAGTAGGAAGCGATACGGCTGGTCCTCATTAGGGCCGTCGCAACACATTTGAAGTATGGCCCACCAGTTGAAGTCGAGCGGGCTTTCGCATCCCGGCTTTAGATTGTGTGATCGAATGTTGTTTAGTCCACTAAAATCCAATTGGCCGATTGGTTAAATTGAGAAATATTCTGTCTAGACAATGAAACACTCGATACCCAATCTGCGTCAATCATGACGGAAATAAGAAGCTCTAACATGGTGTAGTGGTGAGCACGTTAGCACCCGGAAGGGTAATGCCGCGATCTTACCCCTCCGCAGACGCCTACGGTTAGCTTTGCAATTATCTCACCAATATTGTGGTTGTAAAAGGTTGATATTGTGATATGCATTTACATTATAAGGCGAAATGCAGTTTTGCTTGCAAATCCCACCTGATAAATCATTTCGCTCTACGAGGTGGGAGCCTCGTTTAAAAAAGCGATGAAAACATGTTGCTTGGTCTCCAGAAATTATCAGTTCTACTCTCTGTAGTGTAACAAAAAAAGTGCACGTTGGTACGATCTGTAGGCTTTAATGGCCCTTACTTTAGTCAGCAAAGTCAAATGTGATTCGAGATATTATTGTTTAAATTTGAAAAACGCATTTTTTCAGGGCAAATATGAGTGATGTTTGTCACCATTGTGTCAGTGCACAGTGTTCGAGCCCTTTCCGTAAAGATCACCTGTATCACCTGTAGTCCCGTTGATCGTTGAGTGATTCGAGAGGGAGCCAGTAAATATTCTGTGTTTACCGTTCACGGGCTGGGGTAGCCTAGTGGGTTCTGCTCGATCTAGGGACTCGTTGAACAGCATGTCTTTCTTCCAGTCTTTTCGTGAAGAACTCTGACCACCGGGTCGGTGGTCTTCCTGAAGTGCGTTTAACATCCCGAGGAATCCAGTCACTGATAGCTCTTGCCCATTGGTTTTCGTTCGTGCGCATTACCTGTCCGGCCCACCTTATCTTTGACTGTTTAGCGTACAGAACGGCATCTTTAATTTTTAATCGTTGATGCAGGTCGGAGCTTCGGATCCCATTCCTTACTTGTGTGAAACGGGATACTCCTAGCATCGTCCTTTCGACTGCGCGTTCGATAACGCTTAGTGACCTTTCATCCTCCTTGCGCGCCGACCATGTTTCTTACGCAAACGTTAGGGCAGGAAGTACCGTTGAGTCGAAAAGGTGGATACGTAGGCGGGTGTTCTTTGTTCGCTTCACTACATCTTCGATGCTCTTGAAAGCTCCCCAGGCCGCTCGTTTCCTTCTGCTCACCTCTGGAGCTAACTCGTTCATCATATTGATATCGCGACCCAGATAGATATAACTGGAGCATTCGGAGATATTCGTTCCTTTGAGCGTGAATGTGGGATACGAAACCAATCCGTTCTTCATGAACATCGTTTCCGTGAGATTTAGTCGCAAACCAATCTTTCCTTAGGCTTTTTCAAAGTCGGCAAGCATATGTTTCGCTTGGTTAATGTTTGTTGTTATAAGGACGTTGTCATCTGCAAAGCGAAGATAGTGTAACTACCGTCCATTGATTTTCACTCCCATATTATCCCGTTCCAGTGTTCGCATGACGTTCTCGGGGGTGGCGGTAAATAATTTGGAGAAAACGGTATCGCCTTGCCTAACTCCTCTTTTGACGTTGGTGTTAATAACGTTGTAGAATGGTAATATCTTGGTTCTGCAATTATCACACAGCTTTAGCAGAATCTTTAAATGCTGAGTAGGGATTCCCTGACTGTCCAAAACTTCCATGACTTCTTCTTTCGCAACTAAGTCAAAAACCTTCTCTAAATCGATAAAAGTGAAAATGAGTAGACTCTTGTACTCTCGCGATACCAGTGAGTGTTTGTATCGTTTGAATATCGTCCACTACTGCGAATCCTTTTCAAAAAGCTGCATGTTCACTTGGCTGTCTCTCGTCCGGTGTTCTGTCAACCCTACTTAGGATGATTCGAGTGAAAACTTGGAAGACGACAGACAACAAGCAGATTTGGGTGATATTTGCAGTCATCCTTCTCTAAGAATAGCACGGTTTTACTCGTCTTCCACTGAGTAGGAGCCTTGAATCCAGGCAGGTAAAGTGCGAAGAGCCGAGCGAGTGTGTTTGTGAGGACTGGCGTAAGTTTTTTGGGTGTTGAGTTCTTATCCTGGCCGGACAAATCATTCTTCAATTTTTACGGATGAAATAGCATGTCAGATTTAGGAATCGAGAAGCGGTGGTGAGACATATCAATCCTCCATTATTATATATGACGGAAGGTGGACGTAGCTACTAAAGAGATCTGAGTAGTACTCGTGAATAGTAAGCGATTAATCCCCTATCTGCCAGCTAAGGACGCGCCACGTGGCATTGCGACTAACCGGCTCGAGATCCCTCATATGAGGAATATACATGGTTAGTAACGATAAGCGGACAATATTACGCATAATAATGAAGCAGTAACACCTTCCAGAGAAGATATGGTTCTTCTAGACGCCGTTAAGCTTCTCATTTGACGTGGTGACGAGTTAAGTTTGCACTGGCGAAGAAGAGGAAGAATTACTACTCTCAGCAATCTTCTACGACCATAGATGATTCTGACGTGTTTGCTATAGCAGAATCAGTACTAAAAGCCTCAATCAATGATCGTTAAATAAGCGGTAGAAGAGTCTCCCTTGAAAATTTAATGGCTCTACAAGCAAACTGTGCGTTAGATGTGAAGTACCCTCCGTTTCCGTAGAAAATCAGCTGCAATGTTCTTTTATCCAAGTTGTCCTCCGGTTTTCGTACTCTTAATCGTAACTGGAACATTGTAGAAAATATAGCTAACAGTCTGGGATATTTTTTCTTAAGCAGAAATATCAAGGCTTCCGAGTGAAGTTTCCGCGACAGATAGACGCAGAATTTTTCCGTAATGAGACTCAAAGTATGGTATTTGTGAGATTCTATTTCAGCACCATGAAACGATAAAAAAGGTGATAAATCCACCATGAAGGGTGTGGAAAAATTAAGAATAAGAAAGGTTATAATAAAGCATTTTCTCTCGTCGATCGATATAGCTAGGTGTTCTATGCTAAATGAGAATACAAATGAGTCTTACTGAGCAAATTCCACGACTGATTTCAATTCATACCGATGTGTATTATTTCCAGCCTTTAAGATTTCATGGAGAGGTATGCAGCAGAAGTTCAAACACGTGTTTCTTTATGAACGATTATGTGATGATCAAGGAGGACGAGTTAGTTCCAGATTCTTCATTGAATTGACAGCAAAAAACCATAAGACTATAATTTGCAGCGGAACACCAGATTTATTTCTTAAAGTTGATGACACAATTAATGACATTATAGCAAACAAATATTGTCGAACCTGCATCAGTAGAAGTGAAATAAGCATTAATGAAGCTCTTTCAGTACAGTAGTAATCCGAGCAATGGAAATTAAAGACTCTGACGGTATTGCGTTCTCTATCATCTACCTTAGACCTCCTGATGGTAAACACAGACAATTAGTGGTGGGTGGCAACTTCTTTCTTCTTATAGCCTTTTTCTTTATCTTTAAGGAGAACATTCTATGGAGGGATTCCTTAATACCCGTAAATGGCCAGCAGACAAAAGTATTATGTATAGTAGCTACGCCAAGGTTATGGTCGGAATGCTTTTTGTGATGGAGGTAGGAATATTTCTTTTACTGGAACAAATTGATTCACTTGATAAGAAGGAGAGATATGAAATTACCGATATTCCACAGACGTATTCGTATTTTAGGGTTTGAGTTTTACATCAACGCGGTGGCAAGACGTGCTTATGATTGGCTTAGGAGGAGGAGTAATTAATAATTTTCTCAGCATACTTGATGAAGCAAAGGTGAACTGCCTAGTAAAGATGATTTTGTAGCAAACACTTCTTCCTAAAAATAACAAGAACCTAGTACAAACCTCATCTCATTCTCTAACTATCTATCTACAGAGGTAATAGAGAGTGCATTGCAAACTATTACATGTTTCAGCAACAGTGTGAGTTGATCCTTTTGAAATGGTCATAATATCGTGTGTACAGAGCAGGAGTTATAATCATAAGGGAAAAATGTGACTGCCGCCGACGTCCAGGGTTCCTGACATACTGGACGTTCTAGACGATGCAAGATTTCTTGTTTCGCACCATTTCTCACGATAACGTCCGTCGACCACCAAGAGGTCCGACGTGGGTGGCATTGTTGGCTGCGGGTTATGCTTCTTCTGCGAATTTTAACTAAAAAAATAAGATATCGTGTAGACTATCGACAAGGAATTCACAGCAGATTTGTTTGTTTTATGTAGCGAGACTTATGACTATGAAAAAAAGCCGAGTCGAACAAAACACTGGAAGAGAATTTGGTGACGAAAATGTTGTCAGTAGAGAGAACGATGATCTGTCTATTGCAATATCTGACGTAATCTGATCACTGTTCTTCGTCCTTTCATATCCCGCATTCCAGATCAATCTCACAACTGTTGAAATAGACCCTGATATGCCGAAACTGGCAAAGGATTATTTCGACCTAGAAGAAAGCTCAACAAATACCATTATAATCGCAGACGGAACTACTTTCATTCAAGAAGCATCAAAAAATGGTCGAGGTTTTTGCGACAACTGAAAAATTAGTGCTTCATTTAGGCAGTACATGGCTATTCCAGGTCAAAAATACAAATCGATGATAGTGGATGCATGTTATACGTCCTGTCCAGCTGAAGGATTTTGGCAGTTGGACACTGCTATGCATATCGCTGACATTCTCGAGGAAAATGGTATGTTACGTTCCTTAGACACGCGCATAGCCTTTTTTTCATTTACAAATGATACGTCCCTCAGCATATTTTCCATTTGATTGGTCCTGTAGGGACCCCGAAAAATTCCTTTCCCAATACCCTGAGGTAGTCGGTAGTAATAAGTCGCAAAAGCACTGAGAATGTTACAACACAGTAACAAAGTCGAAGTGAATTCTCAGATACAATAAATAGAACCAAACCTGCGTACTGGAAATGTTGCTTTAAACAATTAATGCTGCTTACAAATTAAAGGAACGTTGTCCGTGAATATCCTTGGCGATGATGAGAAACGTGAAGAACGCGGCCAGCAAATTCTGTCCATATACAGGCAATATTTCGCCACCTGCTTTATTTTCGAAGCCTTATCTCAACAGGTGATTTCACAAAAAACCTCTTTATTTCCTGTTAACGTAATTCGTATTGGTCCTCTCTACTACTCGTGCACAATAGCTTCACCCAATGGATTCAAAGAAAATAAAGGGGCAAGTAGTAAGAGCCATAGGCAGAACATGTGTGGTTATTTTCTTCCTCTCAGAAACTTTCAGATAATGCTGTGCTCCCATCGAGAAGATTGGTCACTTCAAAAGCAAAATGAGCGATTTTTAGAAAAAATGGTAGAATTGGATCAACGATTCAAATTCGATTTACGTCCCTTGTATCCTAAGCAATTTCACTCATGAGTCCATGTAAAGCTTCAGATTTAAATAAATCCAACACTTATTTTCTTACCTGAAGAATCATTTACATAAACGCTTTGATGACGATGGCAAATATCCTCATTGAAAGGTACTGTCGATGAAGGCAAGAAGAAGAGAGGTTACAATACGTGATGGCTTCTTCCATAAACTTATTCGACTAGCATCCTAGAAATACTATACAATGCAATGTTCAGTGTCTCACCTTTTGTTTTCTGCCTATTATCTCTTCAAGACAGGCGTTATGTGAAATAAAACCACAGTGATGCTCTTCGAGCCCACAATAAGCGTTTCCGATGTTTCGCATTATCTTCACTGCGCTGTTATAAGCAATTGACCTTAAACGGATACCTTCGGCTTAACTGGGTTCCATGCCGATTTTTCTTCCCAAGATCATTGCTGTTGACTGGTGATTGCTTATAGCACCAAAAGTGTATAAAGAACTAGCTGAGAAAAAAGAAAACAAGGGTCTCGATGATGCAGTGGATAACGTGAGCCACGGAAAAGGTCAATCACGGGTTCGACCCTCACCTGAGGGTCCGAGTTTTGCGCATATCTCAACATCATTGTGGCTACTACAGAATGGCTCTACTATTATGATTAAAAAAACGAAAACAATGAGAAAGAATTTGCCGTTTTTCTTCAATAAGCAGACACGAAATTGTATCATAGAATTTATTAGGATACAATAGCAGACGTTTCGGTGGTTTCGCCTTCTTCAGAGCATGGAAAAGTTAAACTGACATGCGATTTACTCAACCGAACTCATTCATAGCTCTGACAGACAGAGTTTAACAAATAAATTTGCATTCGCATAGCAACCAGCTTCATTTAAACACTCACCGTTTATTCGTTGTAAGCGCTCCGATTAGTTGGTTGGTAGCAACACCACAAAGTAATACATGGGCGAGCACCGTGCCTGTGACAGGTTATTGAATCATCCTGAGGTATGACGCTAGGTCACACGTCATGACAAGACTCTCCTCCTTGCGGTTCATATTTGGTTTTTTGGAATTGATCTAAAACGCGTCAAGAGTTTTATGCGCAGATGTCTTGGTTCCATGCGTGACGATAGTGACTCCCACTTCAGGCCTCATTCCCCTGACCCGAAAGAGCCCCTGACTCGGCAACGTTGAGTAGAACGATTACGAAGAGACTGCCAAAATCTCAGGGCCACTCCAATTTGCCCAAATTGCAAAGGAGTAATATGACGACCTGCACCTATAACGCATTCACACTTGAATCTGAGTCCTAGATAAAAGACTCGATTATGGAAGCAAGAAGGACAATGTACAACGTCATGAGACCTGCCCAGACGAGACGACGCCACCCAATCAACGCTCTCTACGACGCTGGAGAAGAACTGTCGCTCGGAATTGCGACAGTAGAGGAGACGACGTCGCCGACGCTTTCGTCAATATGAGTTTGGCTATGAACATCGATTTATTCCAACAGTTAACAACCCGTAACGGAAGTTTATGGTCGATCAGATGAGGATCAACACAGGCGTTGAAAATCTAAGTCGTAAATCGCCCACCAGATCCAGACAGAATAAAATCCGGACACCTGAAGAACTTTCCACCAGTTGTCGTGAACATACTTGCTCAGTTTTTCACACGTTACCTGTCTGAATGCATGGTCACCACTTAATGAAAGACTAGCAAGATCATGCTATTATCAAGGAAATGTGACCTCCACTAAATGGGCAACTCTCACCAAATGTACTCATTGTGTGTCGTCTACGAACTTTCCACACGAGTCATCCTAAACAACACTGATAGAACACTGCACGAAGGATAGCTATGTGAGCAAGCAGGGTTTCGAAAGGGATTCTGTAGATTGACACGATAACAAGATTTATTTAAGTATGACAAGAGTACAGAAGACCACCTTGGCTCACTTTCTTCGACTTAGAGAAGGAATTTGACATAACTGAGATAGAAGCAATCACGGAAGCCCTTGACAGTCAGGGAGTCTCTAATCAGCATACAATGAATATTCTTTAGCTGTACACAAATTTCACAACCGAGGTATCGCTATTCTACAGCGACATCAACATCGACGTCAAAAGAGGGCTTGCACAAAAAGACACCATCTCGCCAAAATTATTTACCACCACCCTCTAGAACGTTAAGTGAACCTTGGAATAGGAGAACAATGGAGTGAAAACTGGTAAGGGTTAATTACACCATCTTCGCGTTGCTGATGACATCGTTCTGATCAAATGAAGCGTTAACCAAGCAGAAGGAATGCTTGCCGACTTAGTTAAAGTGTTGGAAAGACTGGTATTCACCTAAATCTCAAAAAACGGTGTTAATGAGGAACGGACTGACAATGTATGTCCCGTATTTACGCTCAACGGAATTAATGCATCCGCTTGCTCTAGATACGTCCATCTAGTTCGGGAAATCAGCATGATAAACGGCTTAGCACCGAAGTTGAGCAAAAAAAAAGAGCAGTTTGGGAAGCTTTAGAGAGTATCATAGACATGGTAAACATAACAAAGAAAACCCAACTCCGTTCCCACTATTTCGACTCCACGATACTTGCTGCCTTAACGCATTCGTTAGAAAGAAACCTTGTCGCAGCGAAAGCAGGGTGAAAGATCACTCAGCGTTGTTAACCGCTTATTCGAAAGGACGATGCTAGGAGTATGCCGTGTCACACAAGTAAGGGAAGCGAAGCCTCGAACTGAGTCAGCGATCAAAGATCAAAAACGCTATTGTATACGCCAAACCATCGAAGATAAGACTCTCCGGACACGTAATGCGTACGAACGAAAACCGATGGACAACAATCATTAATAGATACATTGAGATGTCAAACGCTCTACAGGAAGACCACCGACATGATGGATGATTAAAGTTGTTTAGAAAAAGCCTAGAAGGTATGATGCCAACGAGTCCACAGACCGAGCAGAAGCCACTGAGCTATTCATGTACGCGACGGGAAAAAATGGAAGATTTACTGGCGCTGGCCCGAGTCATCCGAGTCAATGATCAGCGGAATGACAAGCGATGTAGATGATACAATTAATTGGCGTTTCTCAAAGAGTTCTCTTCATACTATCGCCTTTTGCGGATCCGTTAAAAGTAGTTAAACCAAATGGAGTGAGAATGAGGATTAAGCTACTTCTCTGTTATCCGCTTGTACGGCAGTTGAGTCACTCAAACTAAAAACCGCGGAAAATCTATCGATAAACCCAATTCAGAGATACTCTTTACCTAAACTTTTAGCTAAAGCTATGCCGCTATGGAAACTGATGTGCTACTAGCGGCAATCCTCTTTATCAAAGCAGTGACAATAAAGGAGTGACCGATCGAGTTCCTTGACAGTTAGCAGCGTTACACACGATCGCGGTTATTCACGCTTTACTTCACACGTTTGCTCGTAAGGAATGTGGCATGTAACGCAAAAGAGAAAATTTTGTGCTTCCAAGAGTGTGCANTTGCTAATGGCTGCTTGAAATGCCAACCGACAACGTTTTCATTCTTTCATTAAACATTCTACATCACTTTCGAATTCGACATTCACGACCACTGATATAAATGACAATGTGAAACACAGAACAGGTCGGAGCACACAGTTCGAAAAACATAATCAGGATATGCTTATTCTTAAAGATTATGGAAGCATTACGAATAAGAGCCTTTTCTAAAGTGAATCACATTACTAAGCAAGTAAGGAAAAGGGGAAAGAATGACATCACAGAATTCATAAAACAAAGAAGTCTAACAACATCACCTTTACTGTTCAATATGCAATTCCTCTTAAACCCGCTGTTCCAACTGAACGTATTCTGCGTGCTGCGGTACTTAGTCGGGGAAATGTAAAACACATAATACGAAACTCAAATTAAAGGTGTGGAAAAGTCGAACACTCCTAAAAATTCCGATTTGGGGAGCAATAAAAATAAAGGAGTACTGGGAGGACCCGGTCTGATCTCGAGTGGAAATAAACGCTGTTTAAGAGGACAATAAGCGTTGAAAAGAGA